TGAACCGTATAAATATTTATCCGAAGAGCCATCTTTTGATGATGAATAGGGGCTAAAAATCAGTCCAGTGCATGCTGGGGTCTTGAATCGGAGGCTTTCTGCCCTGTGAAGCACCGTGGGGGCTGAGACGTGAGGGGGGCTCAGGACTTGCGTGCAGCGCAGCGCGAGTTGCTCGGCAGTGTTTTGCGTTCTCCCGGCATCCACTGTCCATGGCCTCTTTTTCTCTCTGCCTGACCACCCTCCCCATATCCCTATCAGTTTTTCTTTCTTTTTTTGCGAGGAGTATTCATCTTTGCCTAAAAAGAATGAGATGGAACCATTCATAAGTCATGCCTCGGAGCCTCACAACTCAGCGTCAAGTCCCAGCTCCCCTGCGTCTGCGCTCTGTGACCTTCCACAGCTTTATCGTGGGGAACCTCGGTCTCCTTTACTGGGAAATGGGCTCATGCTGCTCACCTCAAATAGTTGTTAGGAGAATTAAATGAAATCATGTGGGTGATTTGCAGCACAGAGCTTAATAAATGCCAGTTGTTGCTGCATTTGCTATTGGTACTGTTGTTGAAGAAGTGACTGAAAGATCTGGCTTTCAGTTTTGGGATGGCGTTGTGGAAAGAGATCTACGACTTGTTTTAAATAACGGGTTCAAACATGGGTGCTGCTGCTGCTGTTTGTGTGACTATGGCAGATTTCCCCATCCCACTGTGTACAATGGGGATAGATTTACTGACTTGATTGGGTTTTAATCAGAAGAGGTTAACACATTGAAAGTGCCAGACACACAGCAGGCCTAATCCTTTTTTATAAAACAAATTAGAGAAGGGAATGTTTTCCATCTTCCAGGGACTTTAGTTTTTGAGCCCAAGAGGCACTGCAATACAGTTTGGAGCCCAGGGCGCAGCAGATAGTACTTATGACCCAGGAACAGAAGGCACAGAGCGGGAAGGCAAGGAAAACCCTCTGGCGGAGTTTTTGTGACTCACCGGGTTGAGTTTCAGGGAACCTGCCCAAGGGCTTGAACTTCTCTGCTTCCCTGCTTTCAGGACCCAGGTCTGGAAACAATCAAAAGAGATCACTTATACCCATAATAATGGAAAACATGGTGAACCTGAAATATTTAATTAGGATCTGTTTCTTAGAAAAACATGAACTGAGAGTTGTGTGCAAGGCATGCTGGGAAGTTATGACACCCTTATTCCTGTGGGCTTGACTTTTCCTGACTGATGCCTTGGTGATATGGTCTAGAAATGGGTGGTTTGCCAGAGAGAGGCAGCGTGGCTTTGGGAAAGGGTCCGTCTCTGAAGGAGGACAGCAGAGTTCTGAGTTAGCCTGTCTTAGGCAAAGTAGACAGGGTCGCCTAGCAGGCTCCTTGGCCAATAGACATTTAACAAATGGAGGGATATCAGGCAGAGTAGATTCCTGAGAAAACCCTTAGGGGCAATGGAGCCCGAGGGAATTGGGTCTTTCTCAACTCTATTCCTTATTAGTGACATGACATACTGGAGTAAGCTACTTTCCCTGTCTACGACTCATTTTCCTCATCGGGCTATCTTCAAGGGTTAATGTCCAAATTAAAAGTGGTAATTCAAGCAAGCTGCCTAGCAGTGCATCACATCCGCAGTAAACACAGTACCTTTGATTTTTCTTTCCCCCACTAAGGATAGGTGTTAACGGTATCAGCTGAGTCTGACTTGTCCAGTTCATGGCTTGTACCTGGCACTGGGCTGGCGTGAGGGATACAGTGGTGGAGTTAACTCTTTAATGGGGAAGCTCCACTCTCCAAGTGAGGTGGGGGCTCTCCTGAAGGGTGGCCTTTTCCTGTTTAACAAAGAGGTAGATCCAAACTCCAGAACTGTGGTAAGCCCCGGATCAGCTGCAGAGTGGAAGTCTGCCTGTTTAGAATTTACTTGAAATCAGTCAGGATGTCTGGATGGCGGGTGGTAAGATGGTGTGCCCCTGCAGAGGAAGAGAGAGTCAAAAGGGAGGAACCCATACAGGGGGAGGTAGGCCATCCTGGGTGCAGGGTGCAGGGGGAATTTCACTTGTCATTGGGGCTGGCAAGAATGGAGAGAAGTGTGGATAGTGGCGAACCAGGTCTGTGTAAACGAGTGTTTATATAGATTCTTTATTTTCTATTTGTTTCCTTGTTTCTCCTCGAGGTGCTTAGAGTTGTCTTGGAATGTTCTAGCGAAGGGCAGAGAGTTGTTGATATGCTCAGAGCAGTGTTAAGGAGCAGCGCCCCTGGGGCCCTTCACAATGGAGGCAGTGGGAAGCTAGGAGAAGGAAGCCCAAGTAAAGCAGGATATGTGTGCCAGATCAGTGGGGAGGCGGAACAGCTGGCTTGGCCAGAACTTCCTCCTATTCGAAGGTAAAGAAACTGAGGAAGCTCTGAACCAAGGCACTGTCCTGTCTTGTCCAGCATTGTATCCTGAACCTGAGCAGGGTGCCTGGCACAGTCTGCATTTCTTCAAATCTCAGGTGTGATTTACTGCAAGATGCATCACTATTTCTCATACCACTAAGAAAGAAAGAAAAGGCTACCAATTAATTATATGATGCCAGTGATAATCAGATTCACTCTGATTTTGGAGAAGCTAGGTGTGAAAAAAAATGAGTGTCTTAGAATGAATAAACCCAGTAAATATTTTTAATTGGATGAATGAAGCATACAGAGATTAGAATCAAGATAAAACATTAGACTAGTGCACTTAAATACAATTTAGGAATGTAAACTATATTAAAGCATGAACCTGTTAATCCTTGTTTTCTGTTGCTTCACTGATTTAGTTGTTCATTCAGAAAACATTTATTGGAAACTATGTACCAGACACTGTGCTAGGAGCTGGAGATGCAGAGATCAATAGTCCATTTTTTCAGATTCAAGCCAATAAGACAGACAGATACAGAAACAACAACAACGAAAACATTGCAATTCCGAGTGGTAAGTTTTCACAGAAAGTAGGGACACGGTACGCTGGTGGCACCAAGGGACAGAGAAAGGCAAGGGAGTCTTCCCTGAAGAGGTGATGGTTGACCTGGATCTTAAAGTGTGAGCCCATGGTCACCAGACAGAGGAGAGAGGAAGGAATTAGAAAGGGAAGAGCAAGTGGAAGGGATGGGGGCAGTCGGGCAGCAGGGGCATGTGCTTGGGAACCTGCGAGCAGCCTGGGGATGGCTGGAGCGAGGTATGAGAATGGCCAGGACGGGGTTGGACGTGGCTGGACGGCAGGCAGAGAGAAGCTGCTAGAGGCCTGAGATGTCTTGCCGAGGGCCTCAGGCTGTCTGTCAGCCCTAAGCCAAAGGCTTTCAGCCTTCCGGAGTCCTGAGGGAAGGGCCCAGCAGAGGGACTGCTGGAGGGAAGGGTGGGTCAAAGATGGGGCCAGGGTGATCTTTGCTTCCAAGGGAGGAGCTCTGCTTTGGTCTGTTCATTTAAATTTTCCGAGTGAGGACTTGAAGAGAAGGTATCACTGTTGAATGAATGAAGGAAGGCATGGTGTGAAAACTGGTGCTGCTGTTCCTGGGAGCTCCCAGAGGGCTGTTAGCGAGGGAGAGAAGATGAGAAAGCCGTAGGCTGGATCCTGAGAGTTGTTCTCTGAGGCTCAGAGGAAGGTAGCCAATGTTCTGACTACAGCGTCCCCATTTTCCTCTCCACCTGCCAGTGAGCCCGCAAGCCAGAGGGGGCAGGCACCGCTGGGAAATCATTGTGATGAAGTCAGAAGCAGTCACTTTTAATGAAGCTGTTTTTGTCTGGAATACACATCCAGGAAGTAGCGACTGAACATCTGCTGGCTGACTTCGTTTTAGCGTCCCCCAGTGCGATTTTGCCTGGGAAACATTACCTTTCTGAAGTGGAAGGAAGGGTGCAGATCGCTGTTGCCATGGTGGAAACTGGACTCTGGGCATGGAGACCACCCCAAGCTCACCTGTGGGTTTGTAGCCTGGTAGCCAGTGTGGTTGTCTTGGGGGCTTGTTCTTATTCTTTGAAAGTCCAATTTGGAAAATGAAAACCTGTATGAGATTTCCGTGTCCTGTGGGCGGATCTGACCAAAGAGACTTAGAATGGCAATGAAGGCCAAGTAATTCCTGAGTGTTCTTCAGTCGGATTTCCTTGTAACTCACAAGGGGTCTGTCAGCAAAACAGATTCTCTAACAGATTCCTGATCCTGCCTCCCTCGAGGCTCCTTCCCAATTCCCAGCCTCTTTGTTATGGGGCTGCAGTGTATTTGCCTCTCTCCTAAACCTGGACTGCCAGGGAGCTCACAGATGTGGGGTGGCGGGTCGGGGCTGCCCTGAGGGATGCTGGCTGAACCCCTTAACCTCTCAGAGACCGATTTCTCCATCAGTATAATGTACATTGTCATAATAATGTGCATTTGCTGTTCTTAAGCATGCGAACCTAACATTAAGAGAAAAGTTATGTACCTTTTGGAGTCTCACCTTGATCCCCTGTAACATTGAGATGTAAATATACTTACCTTGGAGAGTCCTAGTGAGGAGTAGGGGGGAGATTTGTGTTTTTCACAGTGCTTGGCACATAATAGGTGCTCAGTAAATAATTATTTGAATGAATGAATGACTGAGTAGATGAAGTTCCTTTTTAATATCATGGCCACTGTCCTTGTTTTGACAAATTCACTAAAAACAAGTGCGTTATCTATAACCTCCAGATTCTTAGTTCTCCTATAGTCCTTTATTTACCTTTGTAGCACTTTTCACCTGATATTATGACTTTGCTTAAATAGTTATCCAGTTCATAATTGCTTAATGTCTGACTCCCTTCCAAGAATGGAAATTTTGTGTCTGAGGCCATACCTGTCTTGTTCATCCACCACCTAGCTCATGCCTGTTAGCATCTTATTAGCATTCAACATTTTTCTTGGATGAATAAATAAGAGAAGGTCACCAGGAAGCTGCACCTCTTTTATTTTCACTTTCAAGAGATCTTGTGCCTGACTTTGCAGACCTGCTTGCTCTTCATGCGGTTTTGCCTTTGATCACTGCAGGTGAAGGGAACGCCATGCCTGGTGGAGATCAGGAACCAGGGCGCTACTACGTGGGCGTGGATGTTGGGACAGGCAGCGTCCGTGCGGCTCTGGTGGACCAGAGGGGCATCCTTTTGGCCTTTGCAGACCAGCCCATTAACAAGTGGGAGCCTCAGTTCAACCACCATGAACAGTCCTCCGAGGACATCTGGGCCGCGTGCTGTGTTGTCACAAAGGTAGGGCCACAACTATGGCGCTCCCTCCTTGTACATGCTTCCTTGCTTAGCTTTAGATACAAGCCTGGCCTTTAGGAGCTGACAGTGTAAGTGACAGAGACCAATGGACAGGTAAACGATGACACAATAGGTGGTGGGAGCGAAGTGACTATGGCTGGAGCTGAGGAAAGGGTTAACTCTTGAGGGGCTCAGGGTAGATGGGTCAGAGGATACAGAACATGCAGACCTAGGAGGATCAGGTGTGACCCAACGTGGAAGAAGTCACTGATCGTCATAGCTAACATCTACCTTCCTGTGTGCCCAATGCAGAATAAAATGTGTTAACAAGTATCATGTAGTTGAATCTTCATAATGACCCTATAAAGATAGTACTATTACTAGCCCCATTTTGTTGAGGAAGAAACAGAGGCACAGAAAATTTAGGTAATATATCATGTTCATGTAATTAGTATTGAGTTGGCCAAAAAGTCCGTTACATTTTTTCCATGTGATGGCTCTCGCAGTGCTTAGTTGTCTTTAACTTCATTCGAAACAATTTTATTAGATTGTATTGTGACAGCTGTCATATCAGCGTGCATTTATAAAAACCTTATCAAAATTGGTGAATTTTTGTGCAGCCAATTTATTATTGAAGAACGAAGAAAATATGCAACATTTTTGGCTTATTATGCTTTATTATTTCAAGAAAGGTAAAAATGCAACTGAAACACAAATAATTTTGCTGTCTATGGAGAAGGTGCTGCAACTGACCAAACATGTCAAAAGTGGTTTGTGAAGCTTCTTGGTATTATTGAAGTTTTGGCCAAATAATTCTTTTCTGTGGGGTTGTCTTATGCTTTAGAAGATGTTTAGCAGCACCCCTGGCCTCTACCCACTAGAAGCCAATAGTGGAAGATAGTTGACATGCTCAAACTATCCAAATCAATAAGGTTATTATTGAAAATGAAAAATGTGTCTTTTGTTTTATGGAAAAAACTGTACAGACTTTTTGGGCAACCCAACAATAGCAGAGCCAGGACTGGAACCTAAGCAGTCTGATTCCAGTGCTGCACCCTTAGTCACTGGACTGCCCTGCCTTCCGAGTAGGCAAGTGAGGGGAACTTCTTTTGCTCAGCAGGAACAGCATGTGCAAAGGCACTGTGGCATGAGAACATGGTGTGTTTTGAGAAAGCATGGAAGCTGGGCAAGCTTTAGAGCATCTCTGAATTTTGCCAGGCAGATGTTTATCTTGAGTGGTCTTCCATTGGAATCAGCTTGCTGGTTTGGGGAAGAAAGTGATGTTAGCCAAGACTTGTTCATATTTAGTTTCATTTGACTATTCAGTTTTATATCCTGGTGATCAGAAACGACAGACATTCTTTTCTCTTTTTTTTTTCAGAGGGAAAAATGAAGTCTGGGGTTCTCTCTTCTCCTCCTAGTTTAGTTCCTTAAATATTCATGAAGGGCTTGGTAATTTGCAGATGGACAATTCACCATTCTGTCCATATTGATCTGTCTGTTAAAACTTTAATGAGCTCTGAGCTACTGTTAGCGCCCCCAGAGAAGAAGGCAGAACAAGGAGGTGGGGGTGGGTAGCACTGGAGCATGATATAGGAATAAAAGAAGGGGTGCATCTTTTCTTCTGCTTGTTTAATTTTCCTCCTCCCTCCCTCCTCTCAGCCCCGCCTTAGTGAGAATCTTCTACTTATTGCCCTTGGGTCTCCTTTGTTCTTCTAACATATAGCCTTTCTTGCCATTAAGGAAATTGTGAAGAAGAAAATATAATTCCCTGATGAAAAGCTACTTTAAAAAGGTCTGCTCTAAGTACAGCTTGGTTTAATGGTAGATTTTTAATCATCTCCCAGTGGCGGCCAACTTGTCATCTGCTTGAGCCCCTTAGCCACATGAGTGCCATGGGCATTTGTCCTTAGCGAGGCTTTCTCACTGTAGCAAACCTGAATAAAGCTAGGCCGTTCGCTCCTTAAAGAGGTAGACATTTTTATATTAGAGAGGTAGCATAGCATAGAGCACAGGGTCTGGAGCCAGACTGCCTGCATTGTCATCCCAGTTCTGACATTTATTAGCTTGTCATCTTGGACAAATTACTGAAGGTTTCTTGTCTGAGTTTCCTGATCTGTCAAATGAGAATGATAATTGTACCTCTCTCCACAGCGTTGTGAGCATGTAATGAGTTAATGCATTTAAAATGTCATAACAGTGCCTGGAAATGAGTAAGTGCTTTGTTTTCTATGGTGGTGGTGGTGATGATGATGATGATGGTGGTGATGATGATGATGATGGTGGTGATGATGATGATGATGATGATGTGATGATGATGATGATGACAGAAATGAAGGGAACGAATTTCTAAGATAGAATATATTTAAAAGTCCAAGTCAACTAGGAAGGCACCTCATAGGAATCTTCACTCACTCCCTTTCTGATTAGGGTTCTTTTTATGTAAGATTTTGAGAAGTACTGGGCTAGGGCAAAGGCAACAAAATGCATTTTGACCTATCTCTTCTTCCTCAAGGACATTAGGAAATTAAGACTTCCATTAGGAAATTGTACTACATCCTTTTCCCTAAGTCATTCGCTTGGTTTTCCCTGTAGTCAAGTTAACAAAAATAAGAACAATGAAAACAATAACGTGATGATGATGATGATAACAACAGCTAACATTGCTTGGGCACTAAATTTGTTCCACGCGCTCTGCTGAACACTTTATAGCCATCACTTCATTTTTATCTGTACGACAACTTCTTAATGTAGTTTCTATTATTCTCTCTAGTTTTGGAGTGGAAGAGATGAGCTTTGATGAGGTTAAGGAACTAGCCCAAGGTCACATGACCTGATATGTCCCACCCCTCCCCACCCCCTTGCTCTGCCTTCTGTCCTTCTTTCCAGCCTTCTCTCACCCTGCTTGGAAATCGTATTAAGCTACCTGAAGTTCTTTTTAATTTGCCACTCACTGTGTGGGGAACCTTGAGTTTACCGTGATTGTTAGACTAACTATATTGAATTACAAGTATCTTTACCTGGCTGCCTGCTCATGTGGAAAATGTGTGTCCCTTGAGCAGGGATTTTATCTTGTTTACCTGCATTTCCCCAGAGTTCCTCACTTGTAATATACTCAGGTCATATTTGTTGAGTTAATGAATGAATGAAATGTCTCTGTTGTTTTCATTGTGTGCAATGTTCTTCTCTCATCTTCTTTACCTGCACAAGTCCTTGGTATCTTGGTAGGGGTGTCCAACCCACAGCCCACGGGCTGCCTGTGGCTCAGGTTGGCTGTGAACATGGCCCAAAACAAAATTGTAAATTTACCTAAAACCTTTTCCTTGCTGATCAGTTTTCGTTAGTGTTTGTGTATTTAATGTGTGGCCCAGGACAAGTCTTCTTCTGCCAGTGCGGCCCAGAGATGCCGAAAGTTTAGACACCCCTGTAAGCTTAAGTATTAGTTCCTGCTGGGAGTCCTCCTTCTTGACTCCTGACAGTCTCTGCCCTCTCTTGCCAACCACAGAGGAAAGAGATGGTGAGAAGCCCCAGAGTCCACCATCTTCACATGTATCCTTACCTGGCCCTTATCCGGGTGCATTTAAATTGGTGGCTTGTTGGGTTCCTTTTACACCACGAAGAGAATTGACCTTGTATCCATAGCATTTAAAACATTTCCTGGCACAGATTTGGTGCTCAATACACGATTGTTGAATTAATGTTACCTAGAGTTTAAAACAGATAATTAAAAAAGGTTCTGGCATGTCTCATCTTATTTAAGTGTCACCGTAACTGTGAGATAGATTGCCATTCTTCTCATTTGACCCATGAAGATACTGAGGCTCTGAAACTAGTATTAGAGGCAGGACTAGACCCGTAGTGAGAGGGCTCCAGATCCTCTTCTCTGTTCTCTTCTCTACTGCCCCTAAAATTGGCAGGTCAGTACTCACACATCTAAGAAGTTCTACGGCAAGATAGGAGTTGTAAAGGTGTACACTGTCTCTGATTTTAAGGCCTTACAAAACTTTTTGGAGCTGCAAATCTTAATCACTGACAAAATGAGAACACTGCAAATTTGTGTATGATTGGTACCAACTTTCGTTAGGAAGAAGAAGGTAAGCTGGGGGTAGCATATATGCTGTGTTTTTTGATAAGCAATGGAGTGTTTACAGGAGAGGTATACAAGTTCTCTACCCCTAAGGATGGAATAGTTCAGGTACATGGAGAAAACAACACCTATGAAGCCAATGAAATCTGATTTTAAGTTGCACTGCCTATATGAGTAGTGGTCAAAGGGAGAGCAGTACAGGGAGTAGCTCATGTGGGATTGAGCAATAAATGTTAACCTCTTACATTCATAGTACCTATGAATCATGTATCAATTTTTTTAAAATGTTAAACTATTTATTTAAAATTTATTTTTCAATTAACAGTTGACATGCCATTTAGTCTCAGGTGTACAACATAATTATTAGACATTCATATACCTTACAAAGTGCTCACCCCAATAAATCTAATACCATCTAATCATACATAGTTATTACAATATTACTGACAATATTCCCTGTGCTTTCCTTACATCCCTGTGATTATTTTATAACTGGCAATTTGTACTTCTTAATCCCTTTCCCCTTTTTCACCCACCCCCCTAACCATGTCCATATCCATTCGATTGTCATGCAAGGTGGGTAGGGAAGGGATTGTTATTCCTATTTTACCTTTCAAAAGAAAAACCTGGTACCCAGAGACTTAAATGACTTTCCCTAAATTACCCAGAAAATAGGTGATAAGCCTGAAATCAGATAGGTCAAATCTCTGCAGCAGATTCAGGAAGTGTAAAAAGACTAAATGATTAAAGAAATTGGTACCTCCCTACTTCCAGTCAATGGAGAAAGTTTGAGGAAGGATGTAGGGCTACAGGTGACTCTGGAGAAGCCTTAGGAGTTCTCCACAGGCAGAAGTGCTGAGATGGTAATATTAGGGACCAGCCCTGGCTGGAACAGATGGTGCCCAACAGGAGGAAG